AGCTACAATTATTCTGCAGCCCCATTAGCGCGTCTCACCTCCAAATCCTGGTTATTCGAATAGTCTTGGGCAGCGATAGGTTTGCTTAAAGACCACGATGATCGGATGGGAAAACACCCAGGACTACTATGCTCTCGTCATAGGTGTGTCCGATCTCCTCTACAGGATTTGGATTTTGAGAACTGGACGGAAAGCTACAATTATTCTGCAGCCCCATTAGCGCGTCTCACCTCCAAATCCTGGTTATTCGAATACTCTTGGCCAGTGGGATAGGTTTGCTTAAAGACCACGATGATCGGATGGGAAAACACCCATGACTACTATGCTCTCGTCATAGGTGTGTCCTTTCCTCTACAGGATTTGGAGGTGAGACGCGCTAATGGGGCTGCAGAATAATTGTAGGTTTCCGTCCAGTTCTCAGTCCATTCAAATATAGCGGAGTGTGTCTTCAAGCGTTACTGGGTTATCATTGGCCCAGATGGGTGATATTGAAATCTTCTCGGAAAGCTTGTTTCAGGCACTTCGCAACTTGGCTTCCACACCACCTACTGATGCAACTCTATCGAATTGGATCACAATGATGCAGAGCGCTCTATACTCGATATTACTGCTTTGTGATGGTGAGTAACACGTTTGCACCGATGTATCCCCCTGCGTCACATCTGGTTTTTCTTGTTATTTACCAATTTTAAGCCGATTATCGCAAAGACGAGTGTGTGTTGATGCTGTCGTGTGTTGTTCTGGCATCAGTGGCTCCTCGACAAGTTGTGCTCGGCCATCGTGAGAGTTTCCATCGGCTTGTGCGGCTTATCCGTTCACAGTTGCACAGTGACCATCCTCAGGTGAGCGGATGTTTGAATTTTGGGCTTGGGTAGTTGGGAGATATCATACAGCAGCATTTGTTCTACCTTATTACGTCTTTCGGGAGCCTTACAATCAGGGCACGTCCCGTCGCTGGGGAAATTCTTTGCAAAATATGACTCCCCAAAGTTCCTTGTTGTACGTACAACCCACGCCACCCTTCTCTATCTTACGTACTCTTACTCTTTCTGACCTTTCCCAATTTCGCACCACTTGTCCACGAAATATTTCATTTTCCATCAAAGAGTGGTTGTCGAGCGCGGGAGGGTGTCATCTCTTAGCAACTACTAAATACAGCTATCATAATGGTCAAAGTGGCTGTTGCACGGTAGTTCTGCGGCGCCGCCAATTCAAAAAAAAGAAAGAGGGGGCCATAGTACATGTGA